TTTTGAGTTCTTGCTTAGCTTCTTCACTCAAGGCTAGTGCTCTGCCACTTGAACCACACCTTCACTTACAACTTTTTGCTGGTTAAATGGAGGTAAGAGTCTTGGGGAATTTTTTCTGCCCAGATTGGGTTTGAACCTCAATTTTCAGATCTCATCCTCCTAAGTAGCAGGACCACAAGCACTAGCTACCAGTGCCTGGCTTGTTATTTTTTTCCAATACAAACCATAACATTCAATTCCATTTGTGGTCTAGTGATAGAACAGAAAGTTTGTAATCTCTCTCATCAGAAAAGCCAGTAGAGGGCCTAGGAAGGGGGCTCAGTGGTACAGTGCTTGCCTTGCACGCATGAAGCCCTGGGTTCAATTCCTCAGCACCACATAAGCAGAAAAAGCTGAAGTGGGGCTGAGGCTCACATGGTAGAGCACTAGTCTACAGCTGAAGAGCTGAAGGACAGCACCCAGGCCCAGAGTTCAGGCCCCACGACTGACAAAAAAAGAAAGAAAGATAAGAAAGAAAGAAAGAAAGAAAGAAAGAAAGAAAGAAAGAAAGAAAGAAAGAAAGAAAGAAAGAAAGAAAGAAAGAAAGAAAGGAAGGAAGGAAGGAAGGAAGGAAGGAAGGAAGGAAGGAAGGAAGGAAGGAAGGAAGGAAGGAAGAAAGGAAAGAAAGAAAGAAAGAAAGAAAGAAAGAAAGAAAGAAAGAAAGAAAGAAAGAAAGGAAGGAAGGAAGGAAGGAAGGAAGGAAGGAAGGAAGGAAGGAAGGAAGGAAGGAAGGAAGGAAGGAAGAGAGAGAGAGAAAGAAAGAAAAGAAAAGAAAAGAAAAAGACAGCTGGATCTGTAAATCTTGACTGAGGGCAAGGAAAAGTTGGCCTGGTCTGCTTTCTCCTCTTATAAAAGGTGAGAAGAAGGGAGAAATACTCAATTTTTTATTTATGTATTTTTTTGGTGGGTTGTATGGGGTCTGAACTCTGGGCCTGGGCACTGTCCCTCAGCTCTTCAGCTCAAGGCTAGCACTCTACCACTTGAGCCACAGCGCCACTTCTGGCTTTTTTCTGCTTATGTGGTGCTGAGGAATACCCAGGGCCTCATGCATGCAAGGCAAGCACCTTGCCACTGAGCCACCTTCCCAGCTCTGATTAGCTCAATTTTAAATATAATGTTGCATTAATAATTAGTCAAGATAAAGGCATGTAAAACATTTTTTAAATTTTATTGCAAAGGTGATTTACAGAGGGGTTTAGTTATTTAAGTAAGGTAATGAGTACATTTCCTTTTGAAATGTAACACAATTTACAGTAGGAAAATCACATTTGTCAACATTTTTCTTTTTTGTTTTTTTTTGTCAGTTGTGGGGCCTGAACTCTGGGCCTGGGCGCTGTCCCTTAGCTCTTCAGCCAAGGCTAGCGCTCTACCACTTGAGCCACAGCTCCACTTCTGGCTTTTGCTGCTTATGTGGTGCTGAGGAATCGAACCCAGGGCCTCATTCATGCAAGGCAAGCACTCTACCACTGAGCCACCTTCCCAGCCCCTCGACATTTTTCTTTTAGTACTAACTCTCTGAGTCCAGATAGCAAACAATAAAATTACCTAAAAGATCAGGTTAAATGAAGTAAGTCAGGCCTAGAGAGACGAAGGGTGCATGTTTTTCCTTATACGTGAAAGCTATAAACGTATATGCTTAAAAACTTATAAGTAAATACGTTGAGTGCTATGTAAGAGTATACAAATGTGTTAACTGAAATATGGAAGATTCAAGGGTGAACTCTGATAGTGTAATTCCTTATAAAGGCAAAGCCAAAGTTGAAAAAAAAAATGAACACCAGGAAGTGGGTACTTGAAAAGGATGGGGCTGGGTCAAGAGGAAAGAGAAGAGGGGGAATTAATTTTAAAAAAATTTTTAAAGATGGTATATTAAAACTATGCTGCATATAGAGTTGCCAGCAAAAAGACCATGTAGGAGGAGAAATAGGAATTGTCATGAGAAGAAGGGTCTGTTATTAGTAAATTGGCAGCAACAAGAATAGGAGGAAGCAAAAGAGACATAATGACAACGGCCCCATCCTGTTTTGTTTTGTCTTGGAGTCCATGAGTCTTTCATGGAAACCATTCATGCATGTCTGTGAATAATCCTGGATTTGAGTTCCTATCAAGATGAATGGAGTATGTCCTTTCAAATGATCTCAGCTCAGAATCTATTTGCTTATTATATCCTCAGTAAGCTTTTAAAACTATCAGCTCTTGGTGTTAACCATGGTCTCAGAAAGATGAAAAATAACAAAAAGAATGAGAATCACCAGAAAACATCATGCTGTCTGTGAACATTTTTGGCAAGCTGGCACAGGAAGTAGATCCTTCATAGAGATGTTGTGGCTCACTTGAAAATGACTGAGGTTCCCACAGAGGAGACTGGAATGTTGGTTGCCAAGCCTGACAGGGCCAAGAGGCGATCTTAGTCAAAGAGTGCATTTTAATTAAGTGGGAAAAATAAATTCTGGTGATCTATTATGACCACAGTGACTATCGTTAATGAATGCATTCTTCAAAATTGCTAACAGTAGATCTTTAGAACATTTTATTAGCACATACTAGTGATATACATTCATTCTATTCATCTCTCTTCCTCCATCCCCTGCCCTGCTTCCCAAAACAATCCTAAAAGTTTTCATTGTTCCATTTTCATACAAAATGCAAAACAATGCTGTTCATGAGGCAGAGATCTGAGGATTATGGTTTAAAACCAGCCCAGCAGCAAAGTCCATTAAAAGTCTTATCTCCAATTAGCTACTAAAAAGCAGAAGTAGATCTATGGCTCAAGTGGTAGAGTGCTAACTTGAAGCAAAAAGAAAAACAAACTCAGAGACAGAGCCCAGACCCTGAGTTCAAGCAGTTAGCCCATATTCATCCTTTCTATTGGCCTCCCCCATCCCACTGGTAGCAGCCCCGGACCTGTTTTTACATTTCTGTTATTCATTCCTTTATGTCATTTTTTTTGGGGGGGTCCGGTCATGGGGCCTGAACTCTGGGCCTGGGTGCTGTCCCCCAGCTCTTCAGCTCAAGGCTAGTGCTCTACCACTTGAGCCACAGCACCACTTCCGGCGTTTTTCTTTTTGCTTATGTGGTGCTGAGGAATTGAACCCAGGGCCTCATGCATGCAAGGCAAGCGCTCTACCACTGAGCCACCTTCCCAGCCCATTTATGTCATTTTTAAAGTGCATTGTCAGCCTTCATAAGCCTAAGTGCTTAGGACAATTTCTAAAATAATTCAGGATTCCATATATCTTCCAGCTAAATGAATTATTATTTTGTGTGTATGTGTGTGTGTGTGTGTGTGTGTGTGTGTGTGTGTGTGTGTGTGTGTGACAGTGCTGGGGTTTGAACTCAGGACCCTATGCTCTTATTCAGGTTTTTACTCAGGGATAGTACTTTACCACTTGAGCCATGACTCTACTTCTAAATTTTTGCTGGTGTATTGGAGATAAGAGTCTCTCAGATTTGTCTGCCCAGGGTTATCTTGGAACCTCGATCTTCAGATCTGAACCTCCTAAGTAGCTAGGATTACAGGTGTGAGCTACTGGCATCCTACACTAAATGGATCATTTTTAAAGTAAGGTTTCTTGAAATAGCTCTATATTTTAAATACAGGATCACCTAAAAACTTGATATACAAGATAGATAATGGAAGATTTATGTGGTTCGGGTTCAAAGAACCAGGACCAAGAAGGTTCTTGTCACATGGTTTGAGATGCACTGTACCGAATTTTTAGAACCCAGGATAGAGTTGAATAGAGTTGGGATAGAGTTGAAAGCCACTGAATCAATCAACTGTATTTTCTAATGCCCTAAAATTATACTCCTCAGAGTTTTCTTTGGTCATGTGTCATGTTTTCTAAATGCTAATGCCTATAAAATTGGGATGTGACTTACTGAAAATGTGTTACTCTATTGTAGAGTTCCCGGTCTTGTTCATCATCCTCACTATTGCTACATCTTGTAATCAATTGTCTCTTATAACCAAGGAATCTCAGTCTGTAGAATAGACCTCCACAAATTCTCCCAACCAATGTGATTTAATTTTCACTTGAATGTCCAAGTCGATTGACTTGAGGGTACTGTGGTAATCCCAGCCCTTTTTCTTTCAGATCTCCAACTGTGTGTAGGGGTTTACATTCTCCTAGTACTACGGCTGCAGTTCACCTTCCCCAGGTCCTTTAGAGCCCAGAAGCTACTCTCCCCTCCCAGAACCACAGCCAGCCCTCCTGGCATTGCCCCCACGTGCTAATGCTCTCACTCCTGTGAGAGCTAGCTGACAGAACGTGTTTATAGCAGACTTGGAAGAAATGGGAGTCACCTTTAAGGGATTTGCACTGAAGCACAAAACATACAATACTCAGCATCAGTTTTTATCATAAATAACCTAAATATCCGTCATCTGATCTCCTAAATTATTTATTTTTCTTTTTTTCTTTTTTTTCTTTTTATTTTTTTGGGTCCGTCGTGGGGCCTGAACTCTGGGCCTGGCCGCTGTCCCTCAGCTCTTCAGCTCAAGGCTAGCGCTCTACCACTTGAGCCACAGCACCACTTCTGGCTCTTTTCTTTTTGCTTATGTGGTGCTGAGGAATCGAACCCAGGGCCTCAGGCATGCAAGGCAAGCGCTCTACCACTGAGCCACCTTCCCAGCCCCTATTTTTCATTTTTTATTCTCTCTTCATCAGTGTCTCTACCTAAGCACATTCTCTCATCACAGCCTTAAACCTTACCATGTTTATGGGTCTTTCCACTTAGAGTACTTCAGCTCTGTTTGCAGTTGTTTCCTCTTGATAGGGGCACCTGTCCAATTCCATGTTGCCAAAGCAAGGACAACCAAGGGTTTTCTTTAATATGTACCCAGAACTATCTCCTTCATGTACATACTTCCACCTTGCTGCAACACAGCTATGGATTTAAAGAGCATCTGCTTTTCATTCTGGCCACATTTACACATACCACAAACAGAGACGGGAATATCATTCTGTACTTTTGAGGGGAAACAACAATAGGATCTTCTCTCTGATCTGCTTGGTCTTCACTCCATAGACAATGGGGTTGAGCGCAGGTGGGATAACAATGTAGAGGTTGGCAAATATGATGTGGAAGGTGCGGGGAACCCTGTGCCCAAGGTGATGGGCAAGCATGGAGAAGAAGGCAGGTGTATGAAACATGAGAATAGCACAGACGTGGGAACCACAGGTGCCCAGGGCCTTCTGGCATGCATCTTGGCAAGGGACGCGAAACACTGCACGGAGGATGAGAGTGTAGGAGACAGCAATCAGGACCACGTCTGAGATCACCGTCATGATGGGAACGCAGAAGCCGTACCAGATGTTGATGGAGATGTCCGCACAGGCCAATCGGGCAGCACCTATGTGCTCACAGTATGTGTGGGGGATGATGCGTGTCCCACAGAACGGGAGGCGTGTCAGCAGGATGCTGCAGAAGCTGCACCAGGAGATACCCACTGCCATCTCGATGATGGTCCTGAGCGTTAAGATCGTGGCAAAGGGGAACAGATGGCCCCGTAGGGATCAAACGCCATGGCCATCAGAATGGCTGAATCCAGGACAAAACTGTCGTGCAGGAAGAACGTTTGCGTCAGGCACCCGGGGAATGTGATTTCTCGAGCGTCTAGCCAGAAGATCCTGAGGGTTTGGGGCACACCAGCTGTAGACAGGATTAGATCAGTTGTGGGCAGCATGGAGAGAAAGAAGAACATGGGCTCGTGAAGGCTGCGCTCCACCACGATGAGGTAGAGAAGACACAACATAGATCAAGCAGAAGGGAATCCCAATCCATACATGGAACTGCTCCAGGCCTGGGATCCACACCAAAATGGAGAGCCCTGGGTTGTGAGCGCTCAAGGTGCAAGACACCATTGCCCCAAAGCCTCTGGTCCTAAGGACAGATGATGGTAAGGATATTTAGGCTTATTAAGGCACTCTCAACCCAATCATGACTGACTCCTGAAGTTAGGGTGGCAGTATAATTTGTCATCCAAGAGGGACTCTCTTTGAAATGAAAGAAGATCGGCATGAATGAGGAAGGCAACAACACGCACACCCATGAAGATACACAGTCACCCTCTCTAAAGAGAAGCTCCTCCCCTTTCCAACCACTTCCCCACAAGTTTAAATGGCCTCTCCAGGTAGCTTTCCAGATAGGCTGTACTCTTTTTATTACCTCTTGTCCACTGACAAATATTAACAAGTGACAGGACACACTTTTGGTCTTACATGACTTTGTAAACATCATTGGTGAAGACCTGCTTGCTCTGCCATTGTACAATATCTACCTCTGGTCCTAAAAGAACCACTTGTCCTCAACTTATTTTTTGTGGTTCCAGTCCTAGAGCTTGAATTTAGGACATGGGTGCTGTTCCTGAGCTCTGTGGCTCAAGATTTATGCTCTACCACTTGAGCCACAGCTCCACTTCTGACTTTTGGATGGTTAATTCAAGATAAAGGTCTCATGGACTTGCTTGCTCAAGCTGCTCTGAACTATGATCCTCAGATCTCAGTCTTTTGAGTAGCTGGGATTATTGGTGTGAGCCACCAGTGCCTGACTCTAGATGCTCCTTTAAAAGCTACCTGAAGTGGTTCTTAGATTTGTTAGATCAACACGGTATGTCATCAACTGATAACTTAATTTAGCCTAGCAAACACTGAATCTTTCACTGTGCTAGGTTAACATAGCTAGGCTCACATTTGTAATCCTAGCTGCTCAGGAGGCTGAGATCTGATGATCACAGTTCAAAGCCACAGTTCAAAGCAAGAAAGTCAGTGAGACTCTGATCTCCAATCAACCACCAAGAGAACAAGAAGTGGAGCTGTGGCTCAAGTGGTAAAGCTTTGAGCTGAAGAACTGAAGTACAGTGCCCAGGCCCAGAGTTAAGCCCCACAACCAAAAATTAAAATAAAATATTTCAATGCACTAAACACAAATGTTTTAATACTTTGGATTTAAAACTAGAGTAACAGGGCCGGGCGCTGGTGGCTCACACCTGTAATCCTAGCTACTCAGGAGGCTGAGATCTGAGGATCACGGTTCAAAGCCAGCCCGGGCAGGAAAGACCGTGAGACTCCTATCTCCAATAAACCACCAGAAAACCGGAAGTGGCGCTGTAGCTCAAGTGGTAGAGCGCTCGCCTTGAGCTGAAGAGCTGAGGGACAGCGCCCAGGCCCAGAGTTCAAGCCCCACGACCGACAAAAAAAAAAAAAAAACTAGAGTAACAGGAGCTGGGAAGGTGGCTCAGTGGTAGAGTGCTTGCCTCGCATGCATGAGGCCCTGTGTTCCATTCCTCAGCACCATATAAGCAGAAAAAGCCGGAAATGGCACTGTGGCTCAGTGATAGAGTGCTAGCCTTGAGCTGAAGAGCTGAGGGACAGTACCCAGGCCCTGAGTTCAGACCCCACGACCAACAACAACAATAACAAAAACTAAAGTAACAATATCTTAACACGGTAAGCTTAATAACACTAATGAAGATTTTTGTCCAAAAGAAGATGCTTCTCTGTGTCCAAATTCTATTCGGTAGACTCACTGAACTGAGTCATGTACTCACTCAGAGAAACATATGCAATTAATATTAATATTTATGGGCATACACTGACCTATACTTAGATATTTTGCCATCATACGTTCATATATACCATCTTACAGTTTTAAATACTCGTTCCTTGATTTACTAATCTATTTCTCTCCCTTCTTCCTTCCCTCTCTCCCCACTCACATACACACACACACACACACACACACACACACACACACACAAGTGAAAGGATATTAAAATAAGTATTTCATGGTTACATTTTGTTACTGCCATATTCGTTATAAACTCATAAAAGCTTTTCTTTCTTTTTTTTTTTCTTTTGTCAGTTGTGGGGCCTGAACTCAGGGCCTGCGCACTGTCCCTAAACTCTTCAACTCAAGGCTAGTGCTCTACCACTGGAGCCACAGCACCACTTCCAGCTTTTTCTGCTTATGTGGTGCTGAGGAATCGAACCCAGGGCCTCATGCATGCAAGGCAAGCACTCTACCACTGAGCCACCTTCCCAGCCCCTCCTAAAAGCTTTACTTTGAGAATGTGTCTTTTAAAGAGTAGGTTCTGTGCCTTCTTCCTTCTCCAACCTGTCCACAGCTAGAAAGCTTCCTTTTTTTTTTGGTGGTCATAGGGCTTGAACTCAAGGTCTAGGTGCTATCCCTGGGATCTTCAGCTCAAGGGGAGTGCTCTACCACTTGAGCCACAGTGCTACTTCTGGTTTTCTGGTGGTCTATTGGAGTTAAGCGTCTCATGGATTTTCTTTGAACTGCAATCCTCAGATCTCAGCCTCCTGAGTAGCTAGGATTACAGGCGTGAGCCACCAGTGCCCAGCTAGAAAGCTTCTTATGCTCTAGGGGACCAGAGGTGCAGCAAGGCCAGGGACTCCCAAGGTCACGACTATGATGCAGCTTGTGATATCCAGACATGTCATGCTTTTAACATCACAAGGGAAGAATCACATTCAACCTGATCCTTACCCCTACTTTTATGTTAGCATAAATTAATTGTGCAATGGTAACAGATCTATACATGCGTTTAATGTATTTTGATCAAATTTGCCTTCCATTACTCTTTCCTAACATCCCCTCCTTTCTTTCCTATTTCTGTTTAGTTTCTAATGGGTTTTGTTATACTATTTTCATACATATATAGTATACTCCAATCATATTCAACTCCCATTGCCCTCTTCCCCTACCTCCTCCCCTTCCATTTTCCTCCAATAATCCTTTTTTTTAACATTCAATCATATATTTTCAGTTTAGATTACACATAAAAGTTAAATATGTGGGCTGGGAAGGTAGTTTAGTGGTAGAGTGGCTTGCCTTGCATGCATGAGGCCCTGGGTTCAATTCCTCAGCACCACATAAACAGAAAAAAAGCCAGAAGTGGCGCTGTGGCTCAAGTGGTAGAGCGCTAGCCTTGAGCTGAAGAGCTGAGGGACAGCATCCAGGCCCAGAGTTCAGACCCCATGACGAGCCAAAAAAAAAAAGTGAAATATGTGACATGCTTCTTTCCAAGTTGGCTATCCCTTTCAACATGGTAATCCCCAGTTCCATCCATTTTCCTCCAGATGCTGTAATTTCATTATTTTCTGAGAGGTTAGAGAGGTGCTGGACACAGCATTTAAACTTGGAGCTTTGAGTTCTCACTTGGCATTCTTGCTCAGAGCTGGCCCTCTGCCATTTAAGCCACATCTCCAGTCCAGCATTTTACTGATTAATTGAACATGAAGTATTGTGGACATTTCTGACTGACTAGAAGTGGATTTAGGTTTTAGTCACATATTTATTTGTTTATTTTGTGCCAATTCTGGGGCTTGAACTCAGGGCATGGGTGCTGTCTCTGAGCTTTTTTTTGGTTGTTTTTGTTTTCGACAAGTCAATAACACTGAGAAGGGAGGGATAAAATAAAGAATACATCATTTAAGAGACTGGACAGAAAAAAAACCAATGTGATTATTCATTAGACTGTTTAAACAACTGAGTATAAAATTCAGTTTATAAAGAATTGAAATTTTTAGTTTTCAATAGACAAGTAATAATTATATTGTATGAGGTAATATATGATATTTTGTTATATATATACTGTAAAATCATTAAATCAGGCAAAGGACAAACTTATCTTTGTTGTGGTGAAAGCATTTAAAATCTGTTGTTTTAAGAACTTTGAGATATTTCATGCAGTATTTCATATCCACCACTCCATTCAACAGATTACTAAAGTTGATTCCACCTGTTTAACTGAAAAGCTGTGCCATTTGTGCCCACATTAAACCCCTTCAAGTAGTCAGCACTCACCCAGTCTTGGGACTCAGGCCAAAGAGAAAGAAAACAAATACGCTGATATATATGCAGAATATCTTCAAGAGAGCAAACACACCAACCCAAGAAATAAGTGGAGGAAAAGGAAGGGATGGTGGAGAGGTTGCTTCCCTGTGCATTTGCATGCTCTGGTCACTGCTCATGTGGAGAAGAGGCAGAGTGGGGTCCTGAGGGACACTAGTGCTCTCCAATCATCCTCGGGAAGAAGATAAAGATGTTTCTATTACCCCTACATAAGCCACTGCTTAAGGGTGATTTTTTAAAATTTGTGTCTGCCTTTGCATGTAAGCTGATGTGCATGTTGACTGAAGGCTGTGGATGTATCTGCCTAGCCTATCTCCTTAATTTCAGCTTGACACCAGCATTTACCAGACTTAAAACTTTGGACCAAGTTAATCTATATCATGTTAATATTATCAATTATTATTAATAATAATTTTATTTAGATGTTATATACTTATGCATAATACATTATATAATTGTATATGATTTATATATTATTAATACTAATAATGGTAATATTAGTATGTACCTATGTTCATCAATTTTTCATTGCTGTGACAAAACATCCCACCAAAAAGAAAAAATTTAGGTGACGAAGAATTTATTCTGGCTCATGTTTTCAGGAATTTTGATACCCATTTGCTTGGTTTTCTTGCTTCTGGATCTGTGGTGAGATACACGGATCAAGGTATGTGTAGCACAAAACTGCTCACCTTATGGCATCCAGGTGCCAAAGACAGACAGGAAAGTTCAGGGAACAAGACATATCCTTCAGCCAAGGGCTAGTGTAATCCTAGCTACTCAGGAGGCTGAGTTCTGAGGATCATGGTTCAAAACTAGCCCAGGCAGGAAAGTCCATGAGACTCTTATCTTTAATTAACAAACAACAAAAGAAAGAAGTGGAGCTATGGCCAGTGTTGCAGAGTGCTAGCCTGGAGCAAAATAGCTCAGGGACAGCTCTCTGGCTCTGATTTCAAGCCCAAGGACAGGCACCAAAAAAAAAATTTTTTTTTAATATATAACATTCAAAGACATGCCCCAGTAACCCACTTCCTTCAACCAGACTCTGTCTTCTAGTGATGCATTCAGCTCTAAATTCATCAGTGAACAAATGTATTGAGAAAGAGTGAATTTCCATGATCCAATCATGTCTGAAAAGTCCATTGCACTTAGCCACCAATCTCTTAACACATGAGCCTTCTCAGGACATTTTTGACTTAAACCATATAGTACTTCCTCTCAAGATTTTCAGGACTGGGAAGGTGGTTCAGTGGTAGAGTGCTTGCTTTGCATGCATGAGGGTTCAATTCCTCGGCACCACATAAGCAGAAAATAGCTGGAAGTGGTGCTATGGCTCAAGTGGTAGAGCGCTAGCCTTGAGCTGAAGAGCTGAGGGACAGTGCCCAGGCCCAGAATTCAGGCCCCATAACTAACAAAAAAAAAAAAAAAGTATTTTCAAATGACAAATTAAGTGAGGGAAGTTCTGTGATAATGCTTAACATACTGGCAAACTTACATTATAGATTAAAATCCTAAGAGAGTGGATTACCAATGGCTCACACTTCACATCTATAATCCTAGCTACACAACAAATCATTTTGTGATGATTGGCCAGTTGTTTATTTGATAACTATTACTTACTTATATGCTTTGTATATGTTAGGATATACATCAGATGTTTCCCAGACTGGATAATAGTCGCAAGATGAAAAGTTCAGAACTATGCAGAATTGTCATAGAAACATTTCCTTATCCTACTGTGATATAGGTTAATACGTTATTCAGATTTCTTACAGATACATTTTAAAAAGAGATACCACTAATTTGACTGTTTTCATTAAAGCTTTTATATCATCTTAGGACAATCATAAAGAATTACAGCTGGGGCTTGGCATTGTTGGCTCATACTTCCAATCCTAGCCATTCAAGAGGCTGAGATTACAATTCAAGGTTAGCCCTAATGGAAAAGTTTTTCAGACTCTGGCTCCAAAATAATTAGCAAAAAATCAGGCTGGATGTGTGGCTCAAGTGGTACAGTGCCAGCTAAGTAGGCAAGCCAGGCTATAAATAAACCCTGATTTCAAATCCCCATAAAGGAGTAGGGGCATGGTTTAGGTGGTAAAGTGCTACCTAGCAAAGACAAAGCCCTAATTTTGAATACCAGCACTAAAAACAAATAAAAAGAATTTCAAAAGTAGGGCAGGAGATGTGATTCAAATACAAAGCACCTGCCTAGCAAGCATGAAGTCCTGAGTTCACACCCAAGTACCACAAAAAAAAAAAAAAAGAAGGGCTGAGAAGGTGGCTCCGTGGTAGAGTACTTGCCTTGCATGCATGAGGTCCTGGGTTCTCAGTACTACATAAGAAGAAAAAGCTGGAAGTGGTGCTATGGCTCAAGTGGTAGAACACTAGCCTTGAACTGAAGAGCTGAGGGACAGTGCCCAGGACCAGAGTTCAGGCCCCATGACCAACCAAAAAAAAAAGAGGAGAATTTAAAAAGTATTTGGTTCCAAAAGCAAAATAAATATCATTTTCTGAGCTCAGAATTTGTTTTCCAATGATTGGAATGTTGAAAATCACACACACCAAAAAAAAAAAAATTCAAAACCACAGTTCTGATGAATAGGATTTTTTTTCATATGTCCTTTCTCTCAGGCCACTGGCCATAGGCTCAGTCTCTCATGAATCTATTCTAGGAACTTGCCCTCATGTCCCAATGCACAAATCACTGGGACCCTTTGGGAAGGAGCAATAGAAGGACCTTGTCCCGGATCTGCTTAGTCTTTACTCCATAGACAATAGGGTTGAGCGCAGGTGGGATGATTACATAAAGGTTAGCAAACATAATGTGGAATGTTAGTGGGACGTTCCGTCCAAAGCGATGGGCAAGGATGGAGAAGAACGCTGGTATGTAAAACATGAGGATGACACAGACGTGGGAACCACAAGTACCAAGGGCCTTCTGGCGGGCGTCTCTGGAAGGGAGGCGAAACACTGCATGGAGGATAAGGGTGTAGGAGACAGCAATGAGCATCACGTCGATGATCACTGTCATGATGGGAACACAAAAGCCGTACCAGATGTTGATGGAGATGTCTGCACAGGCCAATCTGGCAACACCTATGTGCTCACAGTAGGTATGAGCAATGACATGAGTCCTGCAGAAGGGGAGACGATTTACAAGGAAAACGCACGGGACAAAAACACAGAAACTTCGGAAAGAGATTCCCACAGCAATTTTGACAATGGCTTTGGGGGTCAGAATAGTGGTGTATCTCAAAGGTGAGCAGATGGCCACATAGCGGTCAAAAGCCATGGCCAGGAGTATAGCAGAATCTAGAACAAAGCTGTAGTGCAGAAAGAATAGCTGGGTGAGACAACCAGGAAAACTGATTTTCTGGGGCCCAAACCAGAAGATGCTAAGGGTTTTGGGGACGCATGTTGTGGATAGCACCAGGTCAGTCAAGGCCAGCATGGAAAGGAAAAAGAACATGGGTGCATGAAGACTACGTTCCATTGCAATGAGGTAGAGGAGGATACTATTGCCCACGATGGCCACAGAATAGATAAAGCAGAAAGGAATGCTGATCCACACGTGGTACTCCTCAAGTCCAGGGATGCCTAGGAGGGTGAAGGGACCTGTGTGGTGATTACTCAGGTTGTACGAAGCCATTGAGATCTGATGAGCAGCTTCTGGGTCCTAAAAGCAAATTGAAGGACTTGAGGGAAAAAAATCACATGGTAATTCTTCCTCCAGATCCTTCCTGGGGAATCAGTTCACTTTTTCCCTATATTTCAGGAAAGATACTCCTATTTTGGTCAAGAATAATGTTCATTTTCTCCAGACTCAATACTCCTGGTATGAATCCTCAAGTTTCTCAGGAATCTCCTTCAAAATACATTCAATGCTGTTTCTATTTAAATGTCTGTGCTTTCCCTGAGTTAATATAATCTGTTGCTGTACGTGTGTACATAAAAAGAAAAGTAATCAAAGCCGGGCTCCGGTGGCTCATGCCTATAATCCTAGCTACTCAGGAGGCTGAGATCTGAGGATAATGGTTCAAAGCCAGCATGAGCAAGAAAGTCCATGAGACTCCTATCTCCAGTAAACTACCAGAAAACCAGAGTGGTGCTGTGGCTCAAGTGGAAGAGCACTTGCCTTGAGCTGAAGAGCTTAGGGACAGCACCCAGGCCCAGAGTTCAAGCACTACCACTGACAAAATAGATAGATAGATAGATAGATAGATAGATAGATAGATAGATAGATAGATAGATAGATAGATAGATAGAAATCTGGCAACATACAGGAGTAGAAATTAAAAGAGGCATGTCACAATTAGTAAAATAAGAAAATCAACAAAAATTCCCACTACACATCATAATCTTTGTGTTATCATATGTAGAAAATTTTTTCAATATACATGCTTTCATGCCCTCCTCAGATTTTTAATGTAAACTTGTTCAACCACTCTGGAGAGCAGTGTAGAGAGACCTCCAAAAAATTAAACATAGAATTACCCTATGGTCCAGCAATTCTACTCCTTGGCATTTACCCAAAAGATTACAATCAAGGATATAGTAAAGCCACCAGCACAACCATGTTTATTGCAGCACAATTTGCCAGAGCCAACATATGAAATCAGCCCAGATGTCTCTCAGTGGATGAATGGATCAAGAAAATGTGGCATATATACACATGGAATTTTTCTCATCCATTAGAAAGTGATATTGTACAATTTGTAAAGAAATGGAAAGACCTGGAAAAAAATTTTGTTAAGTAAAGTAATTCAGGCCCAGGAAGAAAAAGGATACATGTTTTCCCTAATAAGTAGAAGCTAGATTTAGCTCATAAACTTATAAGGAAATATGTTGGGAGATATGCAAGTGTATACAAATGTATTAACTGAAATATAGTCAAATCAAGGGAGATCTTAAAAAGTATAATTCCTCAGAAAAGCAAAATCCAGGGGCTGGGAAGGTGGCTCAGAGGAAGAGCGCTTGCCTTGCATGCATGAGGCCCTGGGTTCGATTCCTCAGCACCACATAAGCAGAAAAGAAAAGCCGGAAGTGGGACTGTGGCTCAAGTGGTAGAGCGTTAGCCTAGCCTTGAGCTGAAGAGCTGAGGGACAGAGCTCAGGCCCAGAGTTCAGGCCCCACGACCAGACCCAGAAAAAAAAAAGAAAAGCAAAATCCAAGTTCAACAAAATAAAACACCAAGAATCAGGCACTGGAAAGGGGTATGATGGTGTAAAGGAGAAAGGGGTAGACCAATTAAGAAAAATGAGGAAAGAGGTGCATAGGGAAGGGATGGCTGAGAATGTTGAAAGAGGTTATATTGATCAAGACATATTGTATTCATAAACTGCTTTGTTAAATGGCAACTCCTTTATACAACTACTTAAAGAAAATAATTTTTTAAAAAGAAAGAAAAGAAACTTTGGAACAAAAAAATATTTCATAATCAGGAAAAAAAGAATTTTTTTAAAAAACCTGAAAATCTGAGAAGTAAACTATATGATTAAGGAGAACTTTGTCTTTTACTTACTGACAGAGCCAAAATCATTAGAGTCTCTGGTCAATACTCTCTCATGAGGCTGTCTCCTATCAGGTAGGGCTCTTCAATATACCACGTAACACCAACAATTCACAAGATGTAAGGAAGTATAAAGAAGAATGTAAATAAGAACAGTCAGAAGTCAGGTGCTGGTGGCTTATACTTGTATTCCTAGCTACTTGGGACACTGACATCAAAGGTCACAGTTGGAAGCCAGCCCAGGCAGGAAAATCCATGAAACTCTTATTTCCAATTAACCACCAGAAAACTTGAAGTGGAGACATGGCTCAAAGTGACCAAGCACCAGCCTTGAGCAAACAAGGTCAAGGACAGCACCCAGACACTGAGGTCAAGCCTTAGAACCATCAGAAAAAGAAGAGAGAGAAAGGGATGGGAAGGTGGCTCCATGGTAGAGTGCTTGCCTCGCACACATGAGGCCCTAGGTTCAATTCCTTGGCACCACATAAATGGAAAAGGCTGGAAGTGGTGCTGTGGCTCAAGTGGTAGAGCGCTAGCCTTGAGCTGAAGAGCTCAGGGACAGTGCCCAGGCCCAGAGTTCAAGCCCTACTACTGACCAAAAAAAAAAAAAAAAGTGAGAAAAAAGAAAGCCAGTACTAAAAATGCTAACCATACCCCAGTTTCAGTGACTCTTAGCATTCCTGGAACTTGGAAACCAGAATGTTCTCCAGAATGTGATGCTCAATATCACACTATGGAGAATAATAGGGAAAGAATGTGAAAGTCCATCTCTAGTACACATAAAGAATGAATAAGGAGATATCCCAAAAAAATTAGAGATATCTGGCTCATGTATACATTTTTATTATACAGAGGAGACCTCTGGTGGAAGAAAAACAGAACCTAGAGATTCTATATCCTGGGCTAAGATAAAAGCAAAGAAACAAGCTTTATAGCAAGGTTTGATTGTTTTGTTTTTTTTTTGCTTAGCTTCATGGAAAAATATTACACCATTCAACAAGAAAGAATTGATTTCTTTCTGGAGAGTTTTCAACATTCAACACAAATAGAAATATCTTACCATGAAATTGCTTTTTGTAATGCTATTAAAAACCCAATGAAATAAGCAGTAATATTATTCATATTCTAAGAGTTAGAAACTGAAACTGAGGAAAGTAACTCAAAGCCGCACAACAAATACATGATAAATTTGGGACTCAATTAACCAGCAAAATGCTGGAAGTAGAGGTGTAGCTCAAGTGGTAGAGCATTATCAACCTTAGTCCAGAAAGCCAAATGAAAGCATAAGATCCTGAGTTCAAGCCCAGTACTGACAAATAAATTATATCCTTAATATTTATCTATACAATAATGCCATTCAATAACATTTCTGAATTAAATATTGGTAATAAATTGAAACAGAAATGAATGTCACAATATCTTTTTCTCTGAACATATATTTAACTCACTAAATATGTATTTCCTATGTGTAAATAAAACCTGCCAATGAACAGCCAATAATATGCCAAGCCAGGAAGATGCTAAAAGTGTTTCCATTAAATATAAAAATAAGATCATACTCCTTTTATCTACTGTGATCCAGAAATTCTCACCAGCGATGGAAGAAATTTTTAAGAGTACTTTTTTTCCATAACTTTTATCTTGGCTTATGTTAACATTCTTCCAGAAAACTTACTAGCATCCAAGACTGAATTAAGTGTTCCATCTCTACCCACTCACAAAACAGAACATGGTATCTTTTTCCTGTGGTAGGACTTTGTCCATTTTTTTACACTGATTACCCTACCTTCTGTCATTCTTGAGACTAAGAGATGCTCATTTTAATATATTTATCTTCTTGTTTGAAGCCAATTGCTATAAAACACTAGTTTGGCAGTATGTAAATAAGTACATCATGGCACATGGCTTCTGTTTGAGATGGAACCTATTTGCTTTTCTAGCTACATCCTTTCCACTTTTCTTCTTTTCTACCTTGTATCTTCCTACACTCCACTAATTATCAGCATCATGAATGAGTGGTTAAAATAATGAATGGATGAGAGGGTGGGTGAGGGAATAAAAAAGCGTAGTACAATTACATATATGAGAAGACATACATGAATTTACAAAGCAGAACCAAATGTAGGTGTTTAAAGACTAACTTTCAGAATTAAAATTTGCCTTTGATCTGTACCTCTCACAGTGCCATACTGAACAAGTTTTTTTTATCTCTTTTATATTTCTTCATAAATTCATAGAGGTTATATAAAAAAGATTCTCATATAAAATCTTATATAAATCTCATATAAATCTTATATTAAAAAATTCTAGTGCCTGAGAATTTTTGTTATTAATTAATAGGAATTACTTTCATAGTATATTATTATGCAATGTAATTATTAAACATGTACACTAATACACCCAGAAGGTAGAAAACCCCAAATGACAAGGAGTGGTAAATCACACGGAAAGCTAAGAGTCACCATCCTTTCTAGATCGAATCTCTCAGATCCTTCTGTCAGGGTTGTCAAATTATAGTCTCAATATTATCCTTTTCTCCCACTTATCCAAAATCATTCTCTGAGACTTTAAAAATCTAAACCGCAGGAATTATGAAGGGAGTGACACTGGTCAAGATGAATTGCACTCACAAACTGACATGCTGAATTGCAATTCCTTTATATAACTACTTAAAGATAATAAAAATAAATGAATGAATGAATGAATTTTTTAAATAAAATAAAATCTTGGCCCCAGAACGACCAGCTTCATTTCATAGGGAAACTGGCCTAAGTCTATCCCCATGTTCTCTTTGTCTCTCCTTGATCTCTTAATGCCTATTATGGGTTAGCCTCCTCCAGAACTTGAGGTCCATCCTTGATTTCCCAGCCCTACCTGCTTTGTCCAAACCCAAACACTTACCAAACCTCAGACCCTTGATGGGAACTGAGATATGAAGAGAAATTGCACCCTTGAGAGGAAGGCCTCTTATTTCCCCTCCATGAACCTTCAGAGAGAGCACTCAGAGCATGCAGGCCCCTGAGGGACCCGAGACATGAACTCAGTCAGTAAACTAGGGACTGAGGCCCTTCCCAGTGGTCTAGTCTCTGAGACTCTGAGGTCCCAAAGGCTGAGGTAGATGACTTTATGCTACAGGCTGC